AGCATCAGCAGCATCAGCAGCAGCAGCAGCAGCAGCAGCAGCAGCAGCACTTAAGACAGTACCTGAGTAGAATCTGCAGCTGCAAGCGGTGGCATGCGTTGCCTTCATTCGAATTCCAACTCAACCAAATTTTTTTATTTTTTCTCAAAGAGCCGTCTCCAGAACAAGGGACATCACATAATACAACATCAAACTTTATTGCTGCTGCTGCTGCTGCTGATGCTGATGCTGCTGCTGATGCTGCTGATGCGGCTGGTGCTGCTGCTGTTGATGCGGCTGCTGCTGATGCTGCTGATGCTGCTGGTGCTGCTGCATTTGTTGATACTGCTCCATTCGTTGCTGCTGCTGCATTTGGTGCTGCTGCTGCTGCTGCTGCCGCTGCAGTTGCTGCTGCAGTGTGTTGCTGCTCTTGCATAGGACAGGAGTCATCTACTTCTTTTGCTGCTCTCTTTACTTCAAAGAGTGTAGGAAAACATTGAGCAGAGTGCGATGTCACCAACAAACAGGGGGAATAAAGATAATGTAAACGATGCACCAGCCTGTACACCCCAAAACCCTAAACCCTAAACCCTAAACCCTTGAAACCCTAAACCCTCGAAATCTTAAACCCTCGAAACCCTAAACCCTCGAAACCCTAAACCCTAAGCATTCAATACTGAACCCTAAATATTCAATTCTAAACCCTAAACCCTAAACCCTAATTATTAAAGAGGGGTCAATAAAGAGAAAAGAAAACAGCGAAGAGAAGACAGAGGGCAGCTCTACCAAAAATAAAATAAAAAAAGAAAAACAAATAAACTAAAAAGAAGAAGAAAAACAACAACAACGATAATAATAATAATAATAGTAAGAATAATAATAATAAGAATAATAATAATAATAATAATAATAATAACAAAGGAGGAAAGAGACAAAGAATAGTAGTAATAATAATAATAAAAAGCAGTAATAACACCAATAATAATAATACTAATACTAATAATAATAATAATAATAATAATAAAATAAATATATTTAATTAAAAATAAAGAATAGAAGAATTTCAGGTGTATTGGCAGCTCCATACATGTGACAGCGCCCAACGTCAGCGTCGTTCGCAACAACAGCACCTTCTGAAGAAACAAAACAAAAACAAATTAATAAAATACTATTAAATAATAATTATTAAATAACTATTAAATAATCATTAAATAATTATTAAATAATTATTCAATAATTATTCAATAATTATTCAATAAGGAGTAAATAATAAAACAAAATAATAAGATTGGCGCATCAATGACAGAGAGACAACTTTAAATAAATAAATAAAATTAATATATATATATACATATATATACGTATATATATACATATATATATATATATACATATAATATATACATATATATATAACAAAGAGTATAATAAAGAAAGCCTATAGAGCAAACAATATGAGGTGTACATAAATTTCAACAGTAAAAAACAGCCAGCAGCAAATTACTAAGGTGTACATGCACTTCAAGTATAAGTAGACATTTGTCTATTATATATATATATAATAGACAGCAGCAAATTATTGAGGTGTCTATACACCTGAATAGTATGGGCTTACTCGGCAGGGCTGGCCACGAGTTGTCACAATTTATTTTTTCTCTTCTTTCTCTTTCTGCTGCTGCATGCAGCATTTCTATCAACTGGGATGTCTTAGAACCAGGAGACGCACATAAATCTAATATCAATGAATCTCCCTGCAGCAGCAGCAGAAGAAGAAGCAGCAGAAGCAGCAGTAATAGCAGTAGCAGCAGCAGCAGCAGCAGCAGAAGTAACAGCAGTAATAGCAGTAGCAGCAGAAGCAGCAGAAGCAGCAGTAATAGCACTAGCAGCAGCAGCAGCAGCAGAAGTAGCAGCAGTAATAGCAGTAGCAGCAGAAGCAGCAGCAGGAGCAGAAGCAGCAGTCGCAGCAGCAAAAGCAGCAGCAGCAGCACCAGCACCAGCACCAGGAGACACAGCAGCAGCAGCAGAAGGAGCAGCAGGAGACAACAGCAGCAATCGCGAGTTTCCCTCGGCGTTGCTGCTGCTGCTGCACCCATAAAAATTATTACAAATAAACAAAACGAAGCAAACAGCAAATAAATAAATAAATAAATAAATAAATAAACTGATGAATAGATAAATGCAGTAAAGATACGAACAAACAGACAAACAAAACAAACAAACAAACAAACAAACAAACAACTGAACAAACAACTGAACAAGCAAATAAAGAAGAATAAAGATATTTATTATTACCCTAATATAATGCTGAGCAAAGAGCGCTGGGATCATAGAGACAGTCTCCTGTCTGTACACTCCGCCAACGTCTGTCTCTTCAATTAAAAAAGAGTGAAGAGACCTAAAAGAATATGCAATCAGCATGCAAATATATATAACAGAAACAAATAATATTAATAATAATAATAATAATAATAATATTGTTATTATTGTTATTATTTGTTTCAGCAGCAGCAGCAGCAACAGCACCAGAAGACACAGCAGCAGCAGAAGCAGCAACAGCAAAAGCAGCATCAGCGGAAGCAGCAGAAGCAGCAACAGCTCCAGCAGAAGCAGCAACAACAACAGCAACAGCAACAGCAGCATCAGCAGAAGCAGCAGCAACAGCAACAGCAACAGCAGCAGCAGCAGCAACAGCAGCAGCAGTAATGCATACAGGAGAGGTGCATGCGTCCTGAGTGTATGTCTTGCAACATCTAACTGAAATGCTTCTTCGCCTGAGTTATACCACCGTAGTGGCTGCAGCACTTCTTTTAAATTAATCTTTTCTACTTCTTTATCTTCTGCTGCTGTTGCTGCTGCTGCTGATGCTGCTGCTGCTGCATCCTCAGCCTGCAAACTGACAAACAGCAAAACAAATATCTGCAACACGCAAAGATGAAGAGTTAGGGTTTAGGCTTTAGGGTTTAGGGTCTAGGATTTATGGTTTAGGGTTTAGGGTTTAGAGGGTTTAGAGGGTTTAGAGGGTTTAGGGTTTAGAGAGGGTTTAGTGTTTAGGGTTTAAGGTAGAATTAAATTAATGCTGCAAATGCAAATACCTTTTAATAATATTTTTAATAAAATTTATTAAATATTGATGATGAGGAGCGAAGAAAACCACGCGAAATGACACTGGCAGGTCTTTCTGAAGAAAATTTATAAACTTTTCCCAGTCCTCTATAAAGAAAATAAACAAATAAATAATTTAATTAATTAATTAATTAATTTAATTTAATTAATTAATTAATTAATTTAATCAATTAATTAATTAATTTAATCAATTTAATTGTTTATTTGTTTATTTGGTTATTTGTTTATTTGTTTATTTTTTGTTGAATTTATTTTTAAATAAATAATTATTGCACAAATAAAATAATAAATAAATAAATAAATAAATAAATAAATAAATAAATAAATTGTTTAAACTTAAACAGTGTAATAGACACAAATATTAATTGAATGCGAGGCAGCGGAAAAAGAAAAGAAAACATCAGCAATAATAAAATAAAATAAATAATTTGATTTAAATAAATATATTATTTTTTACCTTGACTAACAATTTGCTGCTCTTTATAATAAGCAGCAAATTTTTCATTTTCTTTTCTTACAAACCCCTGCTTCCATACACCTTCTTCTCTGCTTTGTTTGCTGCTGCTGCTGCTGCTGCTGCTGCTGCTGCCTAAATCCTTCTCGTTCTTCTTCTTCCATTGATGCGCCTTCTTCCCCATTCTAAAATGCTAGGGTTTAGGGTTTATGGTTTAGGGTTTAGGATTTAGGGTTTAGGGTTTAGGGTTTAGGATTTAGGGTTTAGGGTTTAGGGTTTAGGATTTAAGGTAGCTCCTGGGTAAGGATTTAGGGTTGAAGATCAGAATATAGAGAAAACAAACCGCATCTGAGGCCACGACTAATAGGGCTCACCGTCTAGGGTTTAGGGTTTAGGGTTTAGGGTTTAGGGTTTAGGGTTTAGGGTATAGCGTTTAGGGTTTAGGGTTTAAGGGTTTAAGGTTTAGGATGGAAGAGGCGTGCCGAATATAAACTTCCGTAGATTCAGCGATAAATTCGATGAATTTAAATATCTTTATTTATTAAGTTGTGGTGTATAGGGAGAATAAAACAAAAAAAAACAAAGGTAGCAAACATGCATGCATGCATGCGATTGATTCTATTTTGGATTATTTTGTAAATTTTAAAGAGGAATATCAACATAAATATATTTAAATTAAAGTTAAATTTAAAATAAATTATTTATTTTCTATTTTTTAATTAAAATAATTCAATATCGATGCTGGCCGTGGGGCTCTGAAACTGCTGCATGCATACAAAACAATGTGTAGGGTTGCTGTGCATGCATTCTTCTGTTTATTTTGTTTGTTTTGTTTGTTTTGTTTTGTTTTTAATAATACTGGTTTATTAATACCTATTAAAAACCTGTCTCTTTGTTTTTCTTTCCTTCCTCCTACCAACCCTAAACCCTAAACCCTAAACCCTAAACCCTAAACCCTTAAGCCCCCTTCCCTTTCTTCCTTCCTATACAACATCCGTTACTATTACCAGACATTTTTAAGTATTTTTAATTTATCTCTTTGCATGCGTTTATCTGCATTATTTGCACGCAACTGCATGCACACAACAGCAGCTTCTTCTGCTTAACTTTCTTCTTCTTTTTAAAGCCGCAAACTGCCTACTCTGAATATCTCAACAACAACACCACCAGCAACAACAGCAGCAGCAACAACAACACCAAGAACAGCAGCAACTGCAGCAGGAGCAAGGACGCCAGCGGCGACGCCAGCAACACCAGCAACAGCAACAGCAACAGCAACAGCAGCAGCAGCAGCAGCAGCAGCAGCAGGAAAATGGGTGGTGTTCTGTCTCGCGAGTGTATAGAGAGCCGGAGGTCTCCTGCATGCAGGCGTTTGAAGCAGCTGTTTGCTGCTGGTTATTGGTTTAGTAGTAATCTTCTTTGGATTTTATCGACATCTGCTATTTGTTTAGTTGCTCCCGTTATATTTTATTATGAACGCGAGTGCCAGATGTTTGAAATGCAGCAGCAATTCATGGAGGCGCAGCAAGCTGCTGCTGCAGCGCAGCAGATGCAGCAAATGGCAGCAACAGCTACCTAAGAACAGCAGCAGCAGCAGCAACAGCAGCAGCAGCAGCAGTAGCAAGAGGCTGGTTGCTTCTGATGTTCTTCAGGGCGTGTTGCCTAACAACGCACAACACTGGCTACTATGACACCAGCAGCAACAGCAGCAGCAGCAGCAACAATTGCAGCAGCAACTGCAGCAGCAATGTGGGGATTCATCTATTGAATACTGAGGCCACCCTGGAGGCCCCCTACTTTCTCCTCAACAGCAACATCCGCCTTGAAGTGCATGCATGTTGTTCCATGCATGCATGCATGCACCCATTTGCTTGCACTTGTTGCTGTTACATACATGTATGAATGCTTGCATTTGTTGTTGTTGCATGCATGCATGCATGCATGCATTGGGTGTTGCATGCATGCATGCATGCATGCATGCATTGGGTGTTGGTGTTGAATTCTTTTTGCATTTGTTGCGACGACTTCTTTTCTCGTTTTTGTCTCTATCTCTAACGGGCGATGAACAGAGACGGGGATAATATTTCTTTAAATATTAATTATTATTAATATACTAAATATAGTTCATTGCTTTTTTCTTACAAATATAATCTATTATTATTTATATTCTTCTCCCCCTAGCTACCTAGCCATTATTACTCGCAGTACTATTCATTTAAATAACTCTTACGTTATTAATTCAACTATAAGTATGCTATATATGCTATATATATATATATATTTATATATACGTGTGTAGTATATATTGCATACTTCTATATAAACAAATATGTATATATAAATATATGTATATGTTTGCTGCTCTTTTTAAGCGTGATCCCCAACCTGGCTTTAAAGGCACTTCCTCCTCTGTCTAGCTAGCCTATCTAGCTGCCTAGCTAGCTGTCTAGCTAGCTGACTGTACAGCTAGACTGGGTGTCTGTGTAGCTAGGAAGGATTTGCTGTTGCATTAACAACGCTGAATATATTCATGTGTGCTGAGTTGCGGGTTGTCTTCTTCTTTCCTCTTTAAGGAGGGGTGCTGTCTGTGTTATAGGCGTCGTTTGCTACATGAAATAGCAACAAATATAATTAAAGAATATAATTTAAATGACTTAAATATCAGAAAATAAAATACCTGTCTATAAGATTGTTTTTATACCTGTAAAAAATGACGAAGAGGAAACCAAAAGGCCGAAAGTCTCAGCCTAAAAAAGACCTCCATATGTTATCAATGCGACAACATATTTAAATATTTAAATATTTAAATATTTAAATATTTAAATATTTAAATATTTAAATATCCAACTATTTAAATAGTCGTTGAGTAATTACATACTCCACCTGCACTTCCTACGCTGTTGACAGCCAGTTAGGGCTCGCCGCTGTAGCTGCAGCTACTGTGGTACATATAAATATATACATACATTTATATATAATAGATATATATAATAGATATATATATATATATATGTATGTATGCATGTATGTATATATCATAGACACCTACACGACTGTGTATTTCGGTGTGCCTTATCTACAACAATATGCAGTAATGCATACACCTCAGCAGCCAAAGCAAGTGCCGCAATTTTGTGTAGAACATCGTTGAGCTGCTGCATTTGTTTGCATTTTTTCGTTTTCTTCTACTGCAGGAACTCCATATGGATATCCAACCATCCAATTAGCGCATACATACATGCGGGCTGGGTCTTGAGGGCTCATAGTGGCATTCTGCAAAAGAAGAAAAAGACAAAAAAAATCAAAAAACAAATAAGAAGCGCCACCCTCTCTCTATGCAACGCGCACTTCACAAAGATAAACAAAGCCAGAAAAAGCTACAAATAAACAAAGCGGCTGCGTCAGCAAACAAAATCGAACATCAACACCTATATGAACAGCACCTATGAAGCTGCATAAAGAATAATACTTTACTATTTATACAGTACTAAATATATAGTTGAATAAAAAGCCCTTAA